CACTAGATAACCAATCATGTAAGGATGTAGGAAATAAAGAGAAAGAAGAAAAACTCAGGTGCAAAGTAGGAGATATAGGAAGCATACCCAGGGTCAGCCATAAAGAACTTAAATGCCTCTACACTAACTCTCAAAGTTTAGGGAAAAAATAGGGTGAACTTGAAATACTAGTACACAAGGGCAAGTGTGATATAATTGCCATTACAGAAACTTGGCGGGATGAAACTCATGACTGGAATGTACTGATAGAAGGATACAAACTATAAAAAAAACACCAGACCTAACTAAAGAGGAGGTGGAGTTGCATTATATATTAGAGATCACTTCCTCTCTATAGAGATGCACACAACAAAGGACGAAAACCTTCTAGAATGCATATGTGTCAACATACAAGAAAAAAAGAATGACATTGCCATAGGTATACACTACAGTCATCCAACCAAGCAGAAGAAATACATGAACTGTTTGCTAACCAATTAACCAACATATGTAGGAAACACACCACAATAGTAATGGGAGACTTTAACTGGGAGACATCAACTGGGAGACAAACTTTGCAATAAATGGGAGATCAAACACATTCCTAACTAAGTCAGCTGACAACTTCATCACCCAAAATTTAGAGATGGTAACTAGAGGAACATCTATACTGGACCTTATTCTTACTAACAGAGAAGAAGTAATAAAGGGAATTGAAATTGCAAGAACTTTAGGGGAGAGTGACTATGTCATATGAAATTCAATATAAAACAGACACAAGCAATAGAACATAAGCAAACCAGTTTTAGATTTTAAAAGAGCTGATTTTAACAAATTCAGAGAGAGCTTGGGAAGGATCCCGTGGATGAAAATCTTAAAAGGGGAAATCAACTCAAGAATCATGGGAAACTCTGAAAAAAAAGGTTATAAAAACCCAGTCCATTCAAAAAACACTGAAAAAGAAAAACAGGAAAACCAAGAAGAAACCAGCATGGTTGAACAAAGAACTCTCAAACCACTAAGAGAGAAAAAAAGGACAAGTACAAAAAATGAAAAGAGGGATGCATAACTAAGGCAGAATACCAACAAACAGCTCGAACGTGCAAAGGTGAAGTTAGGCTTTGAACGAAGTAAAACTTGCAACAAATGTCAAAAATAATAAAAAAAAGTTTCTTTCAATACATAAAAAACAAGAAAAAAGTTAAAGAAACAACTGGTTCACTAAGGGGAGAAGATGGCAAAGCAGTAATAGACAGCAGAGAAAAAGCATAACTGTTTAATTCATTCATTGCATCTGTTTTCACATTAAAAAAACCGCTACTCAACTTACTAAAAACAGAACCATAAATGACAGGATAGGAATGCAAATTAAAATATGCAAAAAAATAAGGTAACAGAACACCTGTCAGCTCTAGATGGATTCAAATCACCAGGTCCTGACGAACTATATCCCAGAGTTCTGAAGGAATTGGCAGATATGATTTCAGAACCATTGAAACATATCTTTTAAAGTTCTTGGATCCAGTTCTGAGGACGGGAAAAGAGCTGATGTGGTCCACATCTTCAAAAAAGGGAACAGGGGGGAAAAAAACAGATCCAGGAAATTACAGACCAATCAGCCTGACATCAATACCTGGGAAGATCTTGGAAAAGATAATCAAGCAACAAATCTGCAAACACCTAAAAGCAAACAAGGTTATAACCAGTAGCCGACATGGGCTCATCAAAAATAGATCATGCCAAGCAAATCATATTTCATTCTTTGATGAAGTGATCAGTGAAATCCTGTGGACATAGTATACTTTGATTTCAGCAAAGCATTTGGTAAAGTAGACCACAATCTAATTCTTGGCAAGCTAGCAAAATGTGGGATAGACAGCATCACCACCAGGTGGGTTTGTAACTGGCTAACAAATCATATTCAACACGTAGTCCTTAATGGAACTACATCAAACATGGAGGGAAATAAGCTGGCAGGAATAGCCAACTCCTCAGAAGACAAGCTCAAAATCCAAAAAGATCTTGGCAGACTTGAACTCTGGGCCCCGTCTAACAAAATGAGATTCAACGTAGATAAAAGTAAGGTTCTACACTTGTTATCTTCTGGGAGGAGGGGGCTCTGTGATATCCAAAGCAGAACATCCAGATTCAGTCACAGCTTTGTTCCATACAGTATTAACCTTGTGAACTCTAAAGCTTCCTCCTTCCGTTATGTATTCAAGATGGACAGTGAATAATATTCATATGTTACTTATATGTAAGGGTGTAGGTCAGTAATGGCGAAGCTTTAAGAGACTGAGTGCCCAAACTGCAACCCAAAATCACTTATGCATTGTTCAGTGCCAGGTGGGTGTGGCCCATTGGATGGGTGTGGCCCATTGGGTGGGTGTGGCCCATTGGGTGGGCATGGCTGTGGTGGTAACGGCAGACTGGGTGGGACTAAAAAGTTCAATCAATTCCAACTTTGCAAGATCTTTTTTTTTCCTGCGAGAAGTTGAAATTGACTGATTGATTGGAGGCCTAAAGCAAAAAGATTTTATAAAACTCAGCTGAAGGCCTAGGACTGGGGCGACGGCGCGCGTGCCCACTGAGAGGGCTCTGAGTGCCGCCTCTGGCACCCGTGCCATAGGTTTGCCACCACTGATGTAGGTCTATACATATGTTGTATATAGTATGTTTTAAATGTGTGTTACTATACGTACACTTTGAGAGGAAGCAACTAAATTTCATTTTTAATGTGTGCCATTGTGCCCACAGGAAAAAAATGACAATAAACGTTATCTAATCTAAAATCTAATCTAATCTAATCTAATCTTAGGCAAAAAGCCAACTGTATAGGTATATGCTAGGTGAAACGTGGCTTAATGCCAGTAACTAAGGAGTCCTAGTGGACAATAATTTAAACATGAGCCAACAGTGTGGGTCAGCAGCCACAAAAACCAATGCGATCCTAGGCTGCATTAATAGAGGGATAGAATCAAGATCACACGAAGTTCTAACACTACTTAGTAAGACCACACTTGGAATACTGCGGCCAGTTCTGGTCACTACAATATAAAAAAAGATGTTGAGGCTCTGGAAAGAGTGCAGAGAAGAGCACCAAAATTGATTAGGGGACTGGAGGCTAAAACATATGAAGAATGGTTGCAGGGATTGGATATGTCTACTCTAGAGAAAAGGAGGAGTAGGGGTGACATTATAGCACCGTTTCAATATTTAAAGGGGTCAAACTATTTTCCAAAGTACCAAAAGGCAACACAAGAAACAATAGATGGAAACTAATCAAGGAGAGGTGCAACCTAGAACTAAGGAGGAATTTCCTGACCATGTGAACAATTAACCAGTGGAATGGCTTGCTGTCAGAAGGCATCACTGGAGGCTTTCAAAAGAGACTGGACAACCATTTGTCTGAAATGGTCTAGAGTCTCCTCTTGAGCAGGGAGTTGGACTAGAAGACCGTCAAGGTGCCTTCCAACTCTATTATTCTATGTTCTATTTCTGAAGGTAAATTCAGTCTATTCAGTTTCATTTATAGGATTGCCGGGAGAAAAATTTTCAAAAATGTATCTTTGCAGAACTTGTCCTCCCCATAACCTCACTAACAACTCCCTCTATGTTTTGCATATGCTTTCCAAGATGGGTTTTCAAATATTTTCAAATCACACAATCTGTTAGTTTAAAAGAAAGAAAAAAATAGAACTTGATCACGGAGCCATCTTTTAAGGATAAAAACTTGGCTGCCTCCATCTACTTTTTGTGCCCGGAACTCCGTTGACTTCCCACTGAAGTGAAGGGTTCTACAGAGTGTTGTTTGAAAACCCCATGCTGAGCAACCCAGAGGCTGAGTCTGCACAATCTGTTGGAATAGGGAAGGTTGTTTCTGATACAGCAGCTGAGGTGAATCAAGCCCTTGGGTGAGCAGGCTGTATCAGGCTATTGGGTTTAGCTCAGGGGTAGGCAACCTTGACTCGTGGACTTCAACTCCCAGAATTCCTGAGCCAGCATGGTTCAGCTTGGAAACCTCTCTCTGTCCCCTCAGCATGGCTGGCTCAGGAATTCTGAGAGCTGAAGTCCACGAGTCATAAAAGAGCCAAGGTTGCCTACCCCTCGTTTAGCTGAATAGACTTATTTGCTTGGGCACAACATGTTACGTGGACACAAAAGTCAATTTCTGTTCACTTGGATTTAAAGTATTTTACATAATGTGAATTGAACCAGGGAATATCAAAGACATACACAATTAAGAATAGAACTGCATTGGAGGTAGAATAGAATGGAGGCCGCTGAAATAACGGGGCCAGTTAGAATCCTACCAAATTTCTCTTTTAAAGATTGGACTCTTTTTCACACTTACATCCTTTCCAGCTACCAAGATTCTGGTCTTCTACGATTACAGGTAGTCCTCAACTTACAACCATTTGTTAAGTGACCCCCTCAAAATTACAGTGGCCCTGAAAAAAGGGTCTTACGACCATTTTTCATACTTCCAACAGTTGCAGCATCCCCATGGTCATGTGATCAAAATCCAGATGCTTGGCAACTGGCATGTACTTATGACGGTTGCAGTGTCCTGGGCTGATCACTTTTTGAGACCTTCTGGCAAGCAAAGTCAACGGGGAAGTCAGATTCACTTAACAATTGTGTGACTAATTTAACAGCTGCAGTGATTCACTTAACCACTGTGGCAAGACAGGCCATAAAATGGGGTAAAACTCACTTAACAAACGTCTTGCTTAGCCATGGAAATGTGTGGTCATAAGTCCAGGACTACCTGTAGGGCCAGCAGAATTAAAATTGCTTCAATACAGCATTTAACAACATGTACCGTCATCCTGCTATGCTTATAGGTGAACTCTACCTGCTCAATTTAGTGAGAGTTGCTTTCAAAAAAGTATTCTGGATTATGATATTCAAACTGCTTTCCTACTTTATTTTGAATAGTTTCTCAGCTTATTGGGGTTCCAACTAGTTTCCCAAAGGAGTGAGGTGAACCAATAAAGCAGGAAAAAGCTTTGCCCTACCTTCATCACGTTTCCTCTTCTCACCATTTGATCGAGGAATCCCCAGAATCCCATTAATGGAGTAGGAGCCCACTGGATCATTGGAGGCACTGGAGACAGGAGGGGAAGCTGTACTGGGAACTGGACAAAATGAGAAAGGAAGAGGGCTCAGAAGAACAGGACCCAGCAGCTAGGAAGTGACATATACCCCCAGCCTCATTTGAAGACCTTGCCAAGAGACCAGTTCCAGGTAACCAAGATCCAAAAATACGTGTTTAAGAGGGTCACCCATTGTGAATCACTTTCAAAAATGTCTTACATTTCCTATCTTAATATTTCCAAGTCTACCTAGATTTTGGTAATGGGAAACTCAATTACCAAACTTGGGTATCTGAGGTGGGTGCAGCAGCTGGAGCAGAAATCTGGCAGCTGGTGGAATGGTGCTCCTTCCTTCCAGCTAGATCTTCCAGCTATTATATTTGGCACTGGGGGTGGAGGAGAGAGATACAAAAGGCATCGGGCCATTTGAGGCCCAAAATTGTGGGAGAGCATGGGTGAATATGTACTTACTCTGTATTCCTAATTGGCTTCAGACTCTAGCTTCCACTGTAATATTATAGTCCATTTATTGTAATGGAGTTCTTTTTCAAGCAAATCATGGAATCACAGACTCATATGGCTTGAAGGACCCGTGAAGTTCTTCTAGTCCAGGAGTAGGCAACGTTGGCTCTTTTATGAGTCATGGACTTCAACTCCCAGAATTCCTGAGCCAGCATGGCTCAGCTTGGAAACCTTTTACTTTCCCCTCAGCATGGCTGGCTCAGGAATTCTGGGAGTTGAAGTCCACGAGTCATAAAAGAGTCAAGGTTGCCTACCCCTGTTCTAGTCCAACCCCCTGCCCAAGGCAGGAGATCTTATTTCATCATGGGCAACATTGTCCTATGTTTTCTTGAAAACCTCCAGCAAGAGGTTTTGATTGGACAGCCATTTGTCTGGGATGGAATTAAATCTTTTGCCTTGGGCAAGGGGTTGGACTATAGGAGATCCAAGGTCTTCATTAAAAAAGAAATTCTGTTTAAGGAATCCTAAATTAGCCTATCAAATCTTCAGAGGTTTTTGCAGAAACCAAATCATATATATCAGAGGTGAATATTAGATATTTCTCTCTCTCTCTCTCTCTCTCTCTCTCTCCCCCTCCCTCCCTCCCTCCCTCTCTCATTTTTTGTTTTGTTTTAAGAACTGCATAAAGGGATTCCCTGATAATACATTTGCACTCCTTCTCTCAAGCAGCTTTGGTGATGGGATATAGTTCTTTTTACCAGAGGTCTCTCTAGCACAAGGTGACACAAAATTAGCTTAAGAACTGCAGTTTGTTCAATCCAATATTGACCGGCCATTTTTTGGGAATTGGAGATTTTTCCACAAAAATTTGAATCTCATTTAACCAGCACATTATAAGTCAAGTGTATGGTCTAGGGCAGGGGTCTTCAAACATGGCCCTTTTATGACTTGTGGACTTCAACTCCCAGAATTCCTCAGCCAGGCACGCTGGCTGAGGAATTCTGGGAGTTGAAGTCCACAAGTCATAAAAGGGCCAAGTTTGAAGACCCCTGGTCTAGGGTCACTCCACATTTTATCTGAATCCTGGGCATATCTATTCAATACTACACAATCTTCGAACTCCGGGATAAATATAAATCAGCTGTTTATTGTTAAAAAAATTAAAACAATAAAAACAACTATTTACAATGTTAAAACAAACTTAGCTTTCGCTGGTCCACTGCCAGCGTCTTCAGAGTAAACATTGGGGTGGAGAAAGATCTCTTATAAGCCTTGCTAACCTAGTTTTTTACACATTGACCGTGTGATAGGGCCATTCATCCTAAGTGACCATAATTGCCTTAAATGTCCCGCCTCCCCTTGTTTGAACTGGAGTGCAAACATATATATATATTCTGACAGACATATATTTTAAAAACCTACACAGAATATTATTTTATGGTTCAAGAGTATAAATATAAGCACTTTAAATGTTACTAGTGTCATACTAATAAAAATTGTGAGTTGTGAGCCCTGCATTGGTTGCCAAAAGATTCCCAATTAGTGTTTAAAGTGCTACTTTGACCTACTAAGCCTTTGGGACGATATTCTCCAACTGGAATTGACCTAAGTGAACATCCCAGGGAAAATTAATGGTGATCACTCATTATGTTTCCCTAGTTAGACTTCTCTACCATCTCTACCCTATGAGGTTTATCACCTATTGGAAGATGGTGACAGAATTCTTCCAGAGGGCCTTTAGTTTGGCTTAATTAGGACAATGACGTTGTATGATTGCTTTTGGATATTGCGCAAGGGATTTAAATGTATATTTATGAAAGTTATTTATTATTACTATTTATTTTATTATATATACATTAAATGCTCTTTATTGTGTATGTTTCAGGTTGAAATGTATTGTGTACAACCAAGAATCTTTTGATTGTGGCAGCACTAAAACAGAATGAATGAATGAATAAATAAATAAAATTAACCAATCCAGAACCTACAACTTGTTCTTGTTTTTTTAGAATTACATTTGGGCAGGATCTCAGAATAAATTAAGCTTAATAACTAGTTCAGTGGAGAATTGCAAGCATTTTGGATACATATCCAACCGCCTGGTGAGGCAATCCATGCCATTGGCTAACAGCTTCGACTGTCAGGAAATTCCTCTTCATAGCTATTTCTTTACAATATCTATTCCTTAGTTCAGAGCCTACTATATGGGAAAATAATGAACAAATCCATTCCTTTCTTTATACTGTGTGACCTTTTTTAGGATTTGCAGTTGGTCCCCAATGGAACTACATCTACATGGAAGAAAGCATGCAGTGATAGATGCAAGTGACCAGGTACAGGAATTGAGTTCAAAACACTAAAAATTTATTACATGCTAACTACACCCATGAATCTGGTCTACTAACGATCAAGCTACATTGGCACTTAATAAAGATCCACCAAATTCACAGGCGACTGGACTTGGGTTTCTTGCGGCCGCACAACAATTCCAAACAGGTGACACATTTACCCCCAACCTTGGACTTAGCCTATTCATCTCCTTCAGGTACCTCAAGGTTTTCTCTTGGGCCCAGTGCTCTTCCACATCTTCATAAATGACCTAGGTAAGGTGAATTGAAGGGGTACTCATCAAATGTGCAGATACCAAGCTAGAGGGAATTGCTAACACTTTGGAAGATAGACCTAAGATTTAGAAGAATGTTGACAGACTTGAGCATTGGGCCTTATCCAACTAGGTGCAGTTCAGTGATGAGAAGAGTAAGGCCCTACACCAGCAGTGGTGAACCTAAGGCACGGGTGCCAGAGGCGGCACTCAGAGCCCTCTCTGTGGGCACACGCACCGTCTCCCCAGCCCTGTCTCCTCCCACGGCCCCCTCTTCACCAGCAGCCTCCCCAGAGAGTCACCCCTGGGCGCAGCCCACGCGAAGCAGTGCAGCCAAGGACATGGTGGCCGGGCAGCAGGGACAAGACTCTGCCCTTGCCCCCCGTCACACACAGATGATGCTGTGATGCATGGGCAGAGGGCGTGGCCACCATGGCGGTGCTGGGTTGCCTGGGTGATCTGTGGCGGGCCGTGGAGGTGGTGGATGGCCCAGTGGGCAGGGCGGAGCAGGAACAGGGGTGGGGAGCGGTTTTGGGGCACTCAATCTCTAAAAGGTTCGCCATCACTACCCTACACCTAGCCAGAAAAAACCATATGCACAGGTACAGAATGGACAGTACTTGGCTCAACAGTAGTTCCTATGAGAGGCATCTAGAAGTCCTGGTGGACCACTAGAAAGCATGCAGAGAAGAGCAATAAAGATGATAAGGGTCTGGAGGCCAAATCATACAATGAACAGCTAAGTGAGTTAGGTATGTTTAGCCTAACAAAGAGAAGGGTTAGGGGTGATATGATAACAGTCTTCCAATACTTGAAAGGATGTCACAGGGAAGAGGACAGTTGATTTATTCTCCAGAGCACCTGAGGGCAGGACAAGAAGCAATGGGTAGGAATCTGTCAGAGGGAGAAGTGGAACTAAGGAGTAATTTCCTGACAGTGACAATAATTAATCAATGGAACAGCTTGCCTCCCAGAGATGTGAATGATCCATTGCTGGAGGTTTTCAAGAAAAGATTGGACAACCAATTGTCTGGGATGCTATAAGGACACCTGCCTTGACCAGAGGGTTGGACTGGAAGATCTCCAAGGTCCCTTCCAACCCTATTATTTTGTGATACTGGACCTAGTATTCCAAGAACAGTCTGAAGAAGGCAGAAGAATTATTTCCCACAATTTGGACTACAAGTCTAATGAATATATCCCACAGTAATGTTTGCCTTGTGAACACATCACACCTGTGAACTACTAAGATACCTAGATCTTTTTCAGATATACTGTACATGTCTTCTCTGACAGGAGGAAGAAACTGTCAGATTTTGAACATAAACCTTATGCAATTTTCTGGGGGGGAAAACCTTGGTCTTTCCTGCTGAGCTAACGTTTAGGCACAAAATTTAGTTAATTTATGAGAGGTTTAAAGCAGACTGAAGTTGTTTATTTTAATTTTAAATAGATTGAAACTGTGGTCTCTTTTTGAGCAGATTCACTCTACACTCTTCATGAATATCCCCACCCCCTTGGGCAATACATTGAAGTTACGTATGCACATTGTGACCACTTCTATGTCCTACTACACACTTACTAAGATCACCAATACTGTAATAACAAATTGGGGCATCACGGGCTAGGAAATGAGCAAAATATAAATGCCTAGACAGCAAATAGAATGTGTAAATTAAAACACACAGATCAAGATGCATGCATAAATCCAGTAAGATTAGAAACTACCATTCCACTTCCTACAGCGACGACTGGCCGTTCCAGATTACAGCAAATTAAATCCCATTAACGTCTGATGGCAATTGCAAGTTGACCTAGCAACTTTCTTAGAAGTTTCTGCAGGAATCTTCTCTAGTAGGAACTATACAATCTCGATTCAGTCCAACCACTGCATCTAGCAAAAGAGAGGCAGCCTATTTTGTTAGCCACTATTATCAGTAGAATAGGAATAGGAATAGAATAGAGCTGGAAGGGACCT